ACCTTTGCTCTATTGCCGACAATGATAAAATTACTGGTAGGTGCCGTGGAGTCAGTTCCAACTCTTAACGACCCTGTCTGTTGTGGTGGTGGTGGTGGTTATGTGTCGTGGAGTCGGTTCCGACTCATAGAGATCCTGTACAGGGTTTCCAAAGCTGTAAATCTTCACGGGAGCAGAAAGCCTCATCTTTCTTCCTCGGAACAGCTTGTAGTTTTGAACTGCTGACCTTGAGGTTCGCAGCCCGATTCGTAACCACTACGCTACCAGAGCTCCTTAACTGCGCGGTTCTGCGCCACCCGCACAATTGGTATATGGCTCTGTAGCCACTGGGTTAGTCCACCGTGTTTTGAGGGTTTCTAAGGAAAGAGAGAAATGTCCTTGCTTGTTCCTCGGCAAATTCATCCAAGCTGGTACCTTAACTGTCTTCCAGGTTTTGGTTACCTTCTACTATAACTCTAGTCATTTACTATACAAGATGAAATGGTTCCTGCTTTCCACCATAACGTGTGCCACATTAGCAATATGAAGACAGTGAGTGCTAAAGCACAGGAATCCTTATGTGTAAACTAGGGAGGCTTGACAGTCAGTTCTGATTCATAGATGCTGTATAGGGTTTCCAAGAGTAGCTGGTGGATTTGAACTGCAGACCTTGTGATTAGCACAGTTCAGCAGTCCAGTGCTTATCTTACGACACCACGGTTCTATAGTCCTATTGTTAAGTGCCGTCCAGTCAGTTCTGACTCATAGTGATCCTAGGAGTGGCTGGTGGATTTGAACTGCCACCATGAGGCTCAAACTGACCTTGTGGTTCAGCGCATTCTCCTGCAGCGCCACACCAGGACTCCATTGTTGTTGTTAAGTGCCTAGAGTTGGTTCTGATGCATAGCCACTCTTTAGGGTTTCTGAGGAGTGGCTGGTGATCTTCAACTGCTACCTTGTGGTTCAAACCCACCTTGTAGTCCAGCACATTAACCCGCAGTGCCACACTAAACTTTATTTCATGAGAAAAAGGAAAGCCAAAAAAAAAACCTCCCCAAATGTTAATTATGACACTTCAACAAATAATAAATGCCTCATCACAAATCCCATCCTCAAGTTAATACCATAATAAAGGAGATATATCCATAAGAGGTTGTACTTACATTAAAAATTATAGTCTTCAAAGATTATACCAGAATCCTGATCAAAAGGTGGGGAATGCAGAACAGAATTTCAAATTGTCATGGATGCCAGACTTTTTGGAGTCATAGAGCCTGGACGAATCCCTGAAACTATTGCCTTGAGATCTTTAAATCTTTAAAGGATAATATTCCCTGAAGTCTTTTTAAAACCAAATAATTTGGCTTACCTAGTTTTTTAAAAAATAGATATTTTTAGCATTATGCTTTTTGAAGAACTATATGGGGTCAAATGGACAAAAGCAACTCCAAAAAGATTAGATGGAAACTTTTAAGACAAGAATATTTATGTTCATGGGGGAGGAACAACTCATAGGGTGAGAATGGTTGTACAACTTGAAGACTCTAAGTAATGTCATTGAATCCTACCTGTAGACACTTGTACTAATGTATGTTTTGCTGTGTATCTTTTCAACAATGGCAACAACAAAATAAAACTTTTTTTCCCCTCATTTCTTCCATTTACTTTTTTTTTTTTTAACTATTTATTTTGAATTGACTGAAGATTTACATTCAGCAAATCATATACTTTGCTTCATTACAATGATTGCAATCCCCTTCATGTACTAAAAGTTGACATTATTTACCTCTATTCACCTTTACTATTGCATTCCTTGCTGTTTTCCACTACATTCATCGTTCGTCTGCTAACCTCTCTTGTGTATAGTGGTGGATTTGCTCTGTTCCCCTGGTTAACATGTTTCTTCCCTCCAGATCATGAATAATTTTCCTTTTCCCCTCACTCTATAACCATCACTGATGCTTTCTTTTATTTAAAAAAATGTTCTTAACATTTTACAACATTGGTCTTGTATAATATTTGTCCTTTTGTGATTGACTAATTTCACTTAGCGTAATGTCCTCCAGGTGCATCCATGAAAGTTTGCTTTTTTAAGTATAAAGATTAATCCGATAATTAATGAGTTTAGAAGAAGAGATAACTATTAGCTGAGAGAAATAAAGCAGTTCAAATTAGCTTTAACAGAAGGTGAATGTATTGGCTTATGTAACCAAACAATGGGGAGCGGAGGGTGTTTCTAATATTTTATCTTTGCCAGTTGCTTTCTTCTACAGAGACATAACCCAACACTTTTTGTACCTCATATCATAAGAGATGTCCATTGATAAAGTTTCCTGGATTAGGTGGCCCTCAAAAGGTATGTTTGGGGCAAGACTCAGTAGTAGTGAAGAGTTTTTCAGGCTAAGGGATATTTGAATCTAGCTTATCCAGGGCTCCTCAATAAGTAAAAATAAACAATAAGAAAAATCTTTATACTTAAAAAAACAAACTTTCATGGATGCACCTGGAGGACAATGAATAACATTCTGATATTTGGAGAAAAGATTGAAATTGTCATGGATTTCATTTTACTTGGATTCACAGCACTCATGGAAGCAGCAGTCAAGAAATCAAATGATGTATTGCATTGTGCAAATCTGCTGCAAAAGACTTCTTTAAAGTGTTAAAGAGCAAAGATAATCACTTTGAGGACTAAGGTATGCTTGATCCAAGCCATGGTATTTTCAGTCGCCTCATGCTTGTAAAAGCTGGACAGTGAATAAGGATGACCAGAAAATAATTGATGTGTTTGAATTATGGTGTTGGCGAAGAAATTGAATATGTTGTTGTTGTTAAGTGCCGTGGAGTTGGTTCCAACCCATAGCGACCCTGTACAGGGTTTCCGAGGCTGTAAATCTTTACGGGAGCAGAATGCTTCATCTTTCTCCTGCTGAGCGGTTGGTAGTTTTGAACTGCTGACCTTGTGGTTCGCAGCCCGATTCATAACCACTACGCTACCAGAGCTCCTTTATATATATATATATATATTCGTATTCATTATGGACTGCCAGAAGAACCAACAAATTTGTCTTGGAAGTACAGCCAGAATGCTTCTTAGAAGACTGGTAAGACTTTGTCCCACACATTTTGGACATGTTATCAGGAGGGACATGGAAAAGAACATCACGCTTGCTAAAGCGGAGGGTGAGTGAAAAAGAGGAAGACCCTCAGTAAGATGGATTGACACAAAGGCTGAAACAGTGGGCTCAAACATAACAACTGTGCGAATGGTACAGGACCAAGCAGTGTTTCATTCTGCTGTACACAGGTTTGCTAAGTCAGAACCAACTCAATGGCATCTAACAACAATAGAGTTTAGGTTCTTCTGAGTACTTCCTTTAGAATGAAATGTAAACATACTTACACACTTCAGGTGGCACAACATTTAAGTGCTTGGCTACTAACCAAAATGGTGGTGGTGTGCACCTACCCAGCATCTCAGCTGGAGAAAGATCTTGGATCTGTTCTCATAAAGATTTATTGTCAGGTGCCAGTTGAGTCTATTTCAACTCATGGTGATCCTATGTGATAGTGGATTTACCCCAAAGATTTTTCTAGACTATAATCTTTATAGGAAGACCTTCAACAGATTGATAACAGTAGCTGCAATTAAAGGGCTCAAATATAGTAATGATTGTGAGGATAACAGGGCCAGGCAACGTTTTGTTCTATGTATATGTTGTTGTTGTTATGTGCCGTGGAGTCGGTTCTGACTCATAGCGAGTCTGTACAGGGTTTCCGAGGCTGTAAATCTTTGTGGGAGCAGAAAGCCTCATCTTTCTCCCGAAGAACAGCTGGTAGTTTCGAACTGTTGACTTTGCGGTTCGCAGCCCGATTCGTAACCACTACGCTACCAGAGCTCCTGTGTGTATAGGGAATTAAAATTTACTCCAAGACACCAAGACACCTAACAACATAGACTAGTCCACTTCCACAGAATTAATGCTAAGGGAAAACCCTTAACCCTTCCTTGCTGCTGTGTTATATACCCTGATTAACCTTCTCTAGTTATGGATCTTGAAATCTAGGACTTGGCTTATGAAAAGGTGAAAGGGAACTTTTGTGAAAAGCACACCTACTACATGCCAGACATTTTACTTACTTTATCCCTTTTATGGTTAACAAGCCTGAGAGAGAGATTATCTCAATGTCACAGAAAAAAAAAAAAAAATTAGGACAGGTGACCTTAACTAATTTTCCCAATCATCACCAGGGCTGGGATTCGAACTCAGGGTTAATGTCGGCGCAACCTCTTGCACCACTCTCCTTGTTCCACTGTTTGTATAATCCTGGGCTGGAACCCGTCAGGGAAATCTGCTGAGTTTTTTTGTTGTTTGGGAAATGAACAGGATATTTCATCCGCTCTATGTGTAAATTTTTCAAAGAACTCCTGTGAGAGGAAATTAATTCAGAGAATGTCAGCTTGTTTAATATGTTGTTGTCAGTGCCATAGAGTTGATTCAGACCCATAGCGACCCTGTATAGGGTTTTCAAGGAGCAGCTGGTGAGCTTGAACCACCGACCTTGCCAGTTTAAACGATTTTGCAATCTGACGCGTTAGTCCACAGCGCCACACCCTTCAGAAAGCCACTGAAAAGCCTTGGGCTCAGCTCTCAAAGTCTCTCCCAGGCCAAAGGAAATCCTGTTTCCAAGGAGAGCCTTTGAGGTTCTCCGGCGCACACCGATGACGAATGGTGCATAGGTTCTCTTACGTCAGCGTTTCCTGTCCACCATCTTTGTCCCTGGCAAAGTGGGTTTTGCGCAGTGGCTTAGATCTGGAGAGGGAATCGTGACGGGCAGGAAACCATTATAACAGTACCCAGGCCGTGCTCTCTGGCTGCTGCCGCCTCCCCCGCCCTTGCCTCCGGTAAGTTCGAGCAGGCTGACTTTGGGGTGTGTCCGTCGTTAAAGAGAGGGAGGGAAACCCCTGGGTCGCAGACGGAGGGTAGGAAATCCTAGGAGCGTGACGGTTGAGAGTTGAGGGAGCCGTCTGGTGTGACCGTTGTGTGGAAGCGGGTTGGCAAAAGGGACGCCTCCGCTCTGTCTCTGGTGAGGTGAGGGAATCCTCGGGTGTGGCCGTTGGGAGATGAAGGTGCCAAGGGAAGCAATGTTTAGACGATGTTTTTGTGGCTAATGGAGTCAGGAGGGCCGAAGGTCCTGGGGTGTGGCAGGTAGAGACCTGAGGCCGAGCGAAGACCCTCCCTTTGCCCCCGCCTGGCTTCGTTCACGAAAAGGCTGGGACGTGTCCAGGGAGCCAAAGGGAACAGGGATTCCCTCCAAAGCTTTGGTCATTGATGAGAAGGTCCCGACTCTTTCACCTCCCTCCGGTAATTTTAAAATAAAAGACACTTGTCCCCACCTTATAATGGAGGAACATATCCCTAGAGTCTTAATCACCTGGGGAAGAAAGAGGAATTCCTTACACTTGGAAGAAAAAGAAACCTCTAGAAGTTTGACCCGATGAGTGAGAGAGGGAAGCAAGTGGAGCTTCACCTACACCGGCTCGTTCTTTCTCCTTTTTCCTTCTGGGCTGAATGCTCTGGTTTACGAGAGGCGCTAGGTTAAGGTCGTAGTAAAGAAACTAGAACTTCCTGTTACTTTCAAATTTCCTTGAATCCAAAGAATTTATTCATGCTCTTTGTTTTCAGGGCTGCTTCTATTTGGGAAACAGCCTTTTATTGAACTCACCTGGCTCCGTGGCTGCTTCATTAAACTTGGGAAGGAACAAAATGTGTTTTAAAAGCTAAACACTGTTAGGATCATTATGGTTTCAAAGAAAAAGTAAGGAAAACGCAGCAAGCGCTAAAAAGGCAGAATGACTAAGAAAGGTGGTCTTAATGTGGAACAATTTAAATAATGAATTATCTTCCTTCCATACTTCCATTGCTTAGCCTCAGGGTGCACTTACAAAGTAATAATGAAGGAGATGGGGCTGTATTAGAAGCGTGTAACACATTCCAGTGATGACTAAATGTGGTGGTGAGGTGAGAAACACTTGAAACTCCTTAGGTTTGAAAGGGTAATGTGTTCTGCAGGACAGTAGAGGGGTAAAATTAACATAAAGCTACTATTCTGACTGAATTTAGAGATTCAAGAAGTCCAGTTCTTCCATCCCACCTCCTACCCCCATTTTTTTTCTCTGAAACAGTCTGAAATATATTCCAGGAAATGGATTTCCTGAAAAATATATTTGGAATACTACATTTTAGGCATAGGTTTGAATCAGATTGAACATGGAATGAATTAAAGTAGAACATACTCTCTTTTCTTCCTTCCTTCCTTCCTTTTTTTCTTCTTCTAGTCTTCAGTGTTTTCAGAGTTAATCGGTATTTCAGCTAAGAATTGGATGTATTTTAAACTTTGGGGATGTATTTTAAACTTTGGGGCCTGTTTCTTACTGTATAATATTAACAAATGTTGTATCTTGCCACAATTATGTGAGTGTCTTATAATTTCTTAAAAGCTAAATAAGAACCTGAAGATGCTATTGTCTTAGCATTATTAGTGAATATTTAGTGAGAAATGAACGTAAGCACCTCTCACCCTTGCAATAAAAGGTTAGTGGAATGACTATAATTGGGTTAACTGGCCAATTTTTCATTGTGGAGTGCTGAACTGTGTAAAATCCAATTTTTTGTGAAAAGGGCTTAGTGACCTCGCCAACTGGAATTTGCACTGCCACTTCCCCTAAAGAGCCATTGGAAATTAGCATCCTATTTTTTCTTGGCCTTATTCTCCTGAGACGATTCTTTTTATTTTGTTGCTCAGTTTCTGATTGAGAGAATGAAGACTAGCGGGGATGGTGGTGGTGCTTCACAGTCTGTATTTGGTAGAAACTGGGTTATAGTCGATCTAAATTCATTGTCCTGTGCAGGGATGTTTCTTCTGAAATGCAGCGATACCACACTTTGAGCTAGGACAAGTAGGAATGATTGTGTACTCAACTGTGGCAGCTTGGTTGTGTCACACAATATCCCTGTGCCTTAGAGTCCCTGGAATAGCTCATGATGCGTATGAACCCATTGGTTAGAAAATAGTAAGGGTTGGAGCTCCAGGGTGGCTTCTTCTGGCTTGAAACTTTTTTTTTTTTTTTTTCCCTCCTAGGAGCTTGATTTTTGAGGCTCTTCAACACATCAATGATTTCATGATTTTTTTTTGCTCTGTCTTGGTTACTTTCTTTGTGGCTTCTAAAGCTGACATCAGCTTTCACCATCCTATATTTTGGAGAATTTGTGTCTATGTCTAGGGTGTGATTCAGTGTATCCCTGCTCCCTCCCCTTTAAAATTTATATGCTTTTTGAGTGAGGTGAAATTCATATAATGTGAAATTAATCCTTTTAAGGTGGACAGTTCATTGGCGTTTAGTACATTTACAGTGTTATGCAGCTGCCATCTCTTCTCATTTGTTTATGTTTTAAACTGTTTTTCATTTTTCTCAGAATTACTTTTGGCTTAAGGCAGGAACTGACATAGTGCAGTGTTTCTCAGCCAATATGAACAAGGGATATTACAATTGTTGACAACAGTGTGAGCTAAGAGAGGGGTGTGTTTCTCCTTTTTCTTTACAGCAGGCATTTTATGATCTACGTAAGGAGTTCTTGGGATATTAAGGAGTTCTGGTGTGGTGCCTTAGGATAAACACTCAAGGTCGGTTTGCACCGCAAGGTTGGCGGTTCAAACTCACCAGCCACTCCTCTGAAACCCTATTCAGGGTTGCTATGAGTTGGAATACTGATGAAGATCAAAGATCACACATCCTTCAGTGTGGGTTGCACCTCAATGTAAAGACAACAAAAATCCTAAACACTAGACCAATAAACAACATCCCTGTAAATGGAGAAAAGACTGAAGTTGTCAAAGATTTCATTATGCTCCCATCAGCCATCAACATTTATGGAAGCAGTATTCAGAAAATTAAATGACGTATTAGTACATTGGACAAATCTGCTGTATAAGATCTCTTTAAAGTGTCCAAGAGCAAAGATGTCAGTTTGAGGACTAAGGTGCACTTGACCCAAGCCATGGTATTTTCAACAACCTCATATGCATGTGAAAGTTGGACAGTGAATAAGGAAGACCATAGAAGAATTGATGCATTTGAATTATAGTGTTGGAAGAGAATATTAAAAGTACCATGGACTACCAAAAAAGCAAACCAATCTGTTGATAGAAGTACAGCCAGAATGCTGTCTCATACTTGGGACACAGTACCAGGAGGAACCAGTCCCTGGAGAAGGATATCACATTTGGTAGTGTAGAGGGTTGGAGAAAAAGAGGACCCCCCCCCAATGAAATGGATTGGAACAGTAGTGTCAGTGATGGGCTCAGGTGTAGCAATGATTGTGCTGTTGGACCAGGACCAGGCAGTGTTTTGTTCTGTTGTACATAGGGTTGCTATGAGTCAGTATTGACTCAATGGTACCTAACAATTAACAACAATGATGACTTGGAATGTATTAGACAGCACTTAACAGTAATATTAAGGATCCTTGGTGATGCAAAAGTTAAAGCCCATTTGACTGCTAACTAAAATATTAGTGATTTGAGTTCACCCAGGGCCTCTATAGGAGAGATATTTGGCTATCTTCTTCAGTAAAGATTGTAGCAAGAAAGCATCACGGTTCAGTTCTGAATTGAAATCTACTAAATAGCACTTACCAACAACTAACTAAGAGTATTGGACCCTGTTCCTTGAAATTTTGTGTTTGGGTATAATATTCTCTAGTTAAAAACACTTAGTGATCACAGTGAACAGGAAATACATTCTTTGAAAATGAAATTTTTAAGAAGTTATAATATTATGTGTGGGCTACTAATAAGTTGAACTGAGACTAGGTTAATTAAATGTTTAATAGATTGTGAAAATTTCCCTTGAGATTTTAATGTGTGTATGTTTATGACACGTAGGGTAAGCACTGGACTGTTAACTGCAAGGTTGGTGGTTCAAACTCATCAACTGCTCCTTGGAAACAGGGTCACTATGAGGCAGAACCAACTGTACAGCACGTAAGAACAACAATATTAACATGTTTATGAGAGAGCTTTAAACATCAGAACATTTTTGTGTCCGCTTTCAAAACTGGATGAAAATGTCTAAGCAGATTTTGTTTGAAAATCTTGTGTTCTGATGATCCTATATGATTTAGAAGGAGCCCCTGGTAGCAGATTATGAAGGAGGCTGCTAACCGTGCAAGGTCAGCAATTCGAATCTACCAGTCACTCCGAGGGAGAAAGATGAGGCTTTCTGCTCCCATAAAGATTTACAGCCTCAGAAACCCTATGCAAGGATGCTATGCGTGTGAACCGATTAGACGGCACACCACCATCACCACCATAGGATTGAGAATGACATAATAGTATCCAAGGCAGACTTTAGCTATAACCTCCTTTGAGGCACTAGTAACTATTTCTGTAAACGTTTTTTCATTTGTGTATGCAAGTCCTAGAGTAGCATTGTAGGATAAGCACTGAACTGCTAATTGCAAGATCGGTGATTCAAATCTACCAGCTGCTACTTGGAAATCCTAAACAGGGTTGCTATGGGTTGGAACCAACTCGATGACATTTAACAACCACAGCAACAACATATACAAGTTAATGAATGTCAACTTTGAATTTATTACAGGTCTTTTATGTGAAGTATACACTTCTTTTGTCTACTTCATATTTAGTTTACATTGTGAATAGATTAAGTGATTATAGAATTATTTAACTTTTTGCTAGAATAGCATTGTGAAATATTGCATTAAGGGAAGCCTCTGATACAGGTTAATTTTTAATTATTAGAATATCTGTATTTTGTAATGACACTTGTGAGTTTTAGACACCTTCTTTTACTAATTCATTGAAATTCTAGTACAGCCTATGGAACATGTTACAAGACTGTAAATATAGTAAGCACCACATGGTTGGAAAGGAGAAACTGAGTCTAATTTCCATTTGAATGTCTCGTCACATTTTACAGATCAGATTTAACCCAAATTTCCACCCCCACCCCCACCCCCAATTATTTTATCTGGCTCTTCTTCCTTTTCCTTAATTATAATTACACTGATTTATTTGATGCCTAGGTCTTTTTTTCCCAATCTATATTTACTATCATTTTTGTTAAATGTGTTCATTACTTAAGTTTGCCCACATGTCTTATCATGTTGGATTGATCTGACAGCATGCCTGTTTCGAATTTGGTAATATTGTTAATGATCCACCACTTGTCTGTCAATTTGTTGTATTTTGGTGGCTTATGTGATGCTGGAAGTTGTGCCACTGGTATTTTAAATATCAGTAGGGTCTTCTAAGGTTTCAGGGGAGCTTTGAGACTAAGACAGATTAGGAAGAAGGAGAGGCAGACCACTTTTGAATGGTTAGTCACAGAAAACCTTAAGAATAGCAGTAGACCATTATCAGGTACAGAGCTGGAAGATGAGCCTCACAAGTTGGAACACACTCAAAATATAATTGGGAAAGAGCTGCCTTCTCAAAGTCGAGTTGACTTTAATGATGTGGTTCGAGTTAAGCTTTTGAGACTTTGACTTGCTAGCAACTCAAATAATAAGAAACAGCTGCAGATGGCCATTAATAAGAACATGGAATGTACGAAGTATGAATAGATAAATTGGAAGTCGTCAAAAATGAAATGGAAGACATAAAGAGTGATATCGTAGACATTAGTGAGCTGAAATGAATTGGTAGTGGCCATTTTGAATCAGACAGTTTCATGGTTTACTATGCCAGGAACAACAAATTGAAGAGGAATGGCATCGAATTCATTATCAAAAAGGTCTTTCTACAAGTACATTGCCTTCTAAGCTAGGATAATATCCATATACCTATAATAAAGACCAGTTAATACCATTATTATTCAAATTTAGTACCAGCCACTAAAGCCAAAGATAATGAAATTGAAGAATTCTACCAACTTCTTCAGTTTGAAATTGATTAAACATGCCATCAACATGCATTGATAATTACTGGTGATTGGGATGCAAAATAGAAACATAGAGGATGGATCAGTAGTTGGAAAATACAGTTTGGTGATAGAAATGATGCTGAAGATTACATGATAGAATTTTGTAAGACCAGTGACTTACTCTTTGCCAAGTACCTTTTTTCAACAACATAAATGGCAACTATACATATGTGCCTCAACAGATGGAATGCACAGGAATTAAATCGACTGCATTTGAGAAAACAGATAATGGAGAAGGTCAATATCAGCCAAAACAAGATCAGGGACTGACCACAGATTACCAATTGCTCATATGCAAATTCAGGCTGAAGCTGAAGAAAATTAAAACAGGTTCACGAAAGCCAAAATATGATCTGTGTATATACTACCTGAATTTAGAGGCATCTCAAGAACAGATTTTATGCATTAGATACTAATGACTGAAGATCAGCAGAGTTGTGAGGTGACATCAAGATCATCATATATGAAGAAAGTGAAAGGTCTTTGAAAAGACGGGAAAAAAAAAGACAAAATGGATGTCAGAAAAGATAAAACTTACTCTTAAATATGGAGAAGCTAAAGCAACTAGAAGAAATGATGAAGTAAAAGCTGAACAGAAAATTGCAAAGGGCTGCTTGAGAAGACAAAATACTGTAATATACAAAGACCTGGAATTGTAAAATGAAGAAGGAAGAACATGCTCAGCATTTCTCAAGCGAAAAGAACTGAATGTAAAAATTCAAGCCTTGAGTTACGATATTGAGGGATTCTGTGGGTAAAATTCTGAATGATGCTGATAACATCAAATAAAGACAGAAAGAATACACCGTCATTGTACCAGAAAGAATTGGTCGATGTTCAGTCATTTCAAAAGGTAGCATTTGATCAAGAACCGATGGTATTGAAGGAAGAATTCCAAGCTGCACTGAAGACACTGGCACAAAATTAATGAAAAAAAAAAAAAATGCCAATGACGGAATTGATGAAATACAAATTGAAATGTTCCAACAAACTGATGCAGCACTGGAGGCGCTCACTCCTCTATGTCGAGAAATTTGGAAGGCAGTTACCTGACCAACCAATTGGAAGAAGCCCATATTTGTGACCATTCCAAAGAACAGTGACTTACTGGAATGTGGAAATCATAGTATGAATATGAAATTCAAGCCGGATTCAGAAGAGGATATAGAATGAGTGAAATCATTGTTGACGTCAGATGGAGCTTGGTTGAGAGCAGAGAATACCAGAAAGATGTTTACTTGTGCTTTATTGACTATGCAAAGGCATTCTACTGTGTGGATCTTAGCAAACTATAGACAACGTTGCAAGAATGGGTATTCCAGAAGACTTAATTGTGGTCATGAGTATTCTGTACACAGGCTAAGAGGCAGTCATTTGAACAGAACAAGAGAATACAAGATGGTTTAAAATCAGGAAAGGTGTGTGTTGGGGTTTTATTCTTTCACGATGCATATTTAGGAGACCTGGTGTGATGCTGTGGGTTAATGCGCTGGACTGCAAGGTCAGTTTGAACTGCAAACTAGTGATTCAAACTCACCAACCGCTCGGTGGAAACCCTATACAGGGTCTGATGAGTTGGAACCAAATTGATGGAACTTGACAACAACATACATGTTTAACTTGTATGCTGAGCAAATAATCTAAGAAGGTGGATTATATGGTAAAGAATGTGGAATTAGGATTAGAGGAAGATTAACTAACAATCTGCAATATGCATTGATACAACCTGGTTTGCTGGAATCAAAGAGGACTTAAAACATGGATGATGATCAAAGACTACACAGCCTCTAGTATGGATTGTACCTCATTGCAAAGAAAATGAAAATCCTCTTAATTGGACCAATAAATAGCATCATAATAAATGAAGAAAAGATTAAAGTTGTCAAAGACTTCACTTTGTTTGACTCCACAATCAACAATTATGGAAGCAGCAGTCAAGATAGAACATGACATACTGAATTAGGCAAATCTGCTGCACAAGATTCTTTGAAGTGTTCAAGAGTGAAGATAATCAGTGTGTGGACTAAGGTGTGCCTGACCTAAGTCATGCATATGCATATGCAAGTTCGACAATGATTAAGGAAGACTGGAGAAGAAGTGATGCATTTGACTTACAGTGTTGGTGAAGAGTACTGAAAATATCATAGACTGCCAGAAGAAAAAATTTGTGTTGGAATAAGTACAGCCAGAATGCTCCTTAGAAGCAAGGAATGGAAGACTTCATCATTTTTACTTTGGACACGCTATCAGGAAGGACCACTTCTTTGGGAAGAACATCATGCTTAGAAAAGAGGAAAACCCTCAGTAAGATAGATTGACATATTGATGTCAATGATAGGTTCAAACATTTAACAATTTTGAGGTGGTGCAAGAACGGGTAGTGTGTCAGTCTTTTATGCATAGTTTTGCCATGAGTCAGAACCCATTCGATGGCATCTAACAACAACTGTTAATGATGGTGGTAAGGAAGAAGGTCCTCGTTTTTTTTTTAAAGTTTTTTATTGTGAATTGAGTGACAGTTTACAGGGCAGATCATCAGTTTTACATTCAACAAATCATACACTTTGTTTCATTACAATAATTATAATCCCCTGCATGTACCATCACAGTATTTCTCTCTATTCATTTTAGCTCTTTTTTTAAAAAAAAACACTCAGGCATATATAATAATTACACCCCCAAAGGGCACCTTCTGAAAGTCTGCCTCCTGGCCGTCAGCTCTCAGTTCTTCTCTTCTCATGAGTCTAGAGTCCTCAGCTGCTCCCCCTCTCCATGTGCCCATCTCTGCCTCCATCTCTGGTGTCGCTGCCTCTCTGGATAAGGTCCCGCATTCCACTTGTGCTCTTCTCCCCTGATGGTCCTAGGGTCCTTTGTTTCTGGACTGTAAAATTAACTACTCCCCTGTTTTTGTTACAAAATTTCTACCTTTACAATTGTGATGGTCACAATTAGTCATGATAACTATTACTCACGATTGAATCATAAGAATCTTATCCCCCTCTCTTTTAACCGGACCTCTCTAGTCAAGATGAAAACTATTCATTGGGGACTCTTTCTTCCCTCACACACTCTTAAATTAAACTCCCTCTTGAAATCTTGTAAGCCAGACAGTTAATGCCTCTATTGTCTCCTCATTTTAGGTAGCCAGTATCTAAGTTGCCCATTCTTATCTACCCTGTGTACAGAGGGGATAGCATTGATACTTGATGTGATGACTCCTTCCCTCTCTGTTGGTATTTAGAGTTACTATATATGAGTATAGGTCAAGTTAATCCAATTGTAGCAATTTATCCTAGTTTCCTTTATTAAAATTTTTTTTTATCTTCCTCTGGTTGAGTTCTGATTATCAAGCCATCGAGGCTAGGTGAAATGGGTACTCTATATGCAAGTTTCAGTGTTCTTGTGTGTCTCCCCTCACTTCGTGTCAGCTGGGATGTTTCACTCTCAGCTCTAGCCCTCTGTGGCTATGTCCTTGTCCGTGGGCTCAGGTGTCCTCAGGTCTCACCACACTTCAGACCAGCCAGCCTTTCCTCTTCCTCTATCATTTCCAGGTCAACGGGGAGTCTATGGAACATGGTTGAACTCAGCCCATTTCTTCATTGCTGCCTAAAATCCTCATTATTAAAAGGAATTTTTAATATATTTAAAGAAGTCAAGTGCACTGGACCATGTCTTTCAGAGCTTCACAAATGAGTAAACACTAAAAATTTTGTGACAATTGTAGCCAATTCCTACATTTGAAAAAAATCTATTGGAACCATGTTTGAAGGGCTTCAAAATGGTGGAAATATTGTTGCCTTTTAATTTCATTTCTGGCTGTGAACTACAAGGTCAACAGTTCAAAACTACCAGCTGTTCTGCAGTAGAAAGATGAGACTTTCTACTCCCGTAAAGATTTACAGCCTCGGAAACCCTGTACAGGGTCACTATGAGTCGGAACCGACTCCACGGCACATAACAGCAACAACAAATGAACATTTTATACCCCCTTATATCAACTGGGGAGTCCTGGTGTGGCACTGTGGGTTAATGCACTAGACTACAAAGTCGGTTTGAATCGCAAGGTCCGTGGTTCGAGGTTACCAGCTGTTCCTTGGAAAGCCTATACAGAGTCGCTATGGGTCAGATGCTAGTGGTAGCCATTTACCAGGCTAGTTCTTCTAGCCTCAAGGTCCTGGAGGTTGATGTTTGCAAGGCTCATTAGTCCATAAAACTAATGGTTTCCATGTGTCTTCAGTTTTCTTCATTCTTTACTCTAGATAAGGAAGACCGAGAGTTTGCACTTTAGATGGCTGCTTATGAGCAAACCCTATAGTAGTTACAGCCTTAATTTTCTTTCCATTCCTTGAAGTGCCAAGCATGGTGTATACGTTTTTTGTTTTTAAATGATCAGTTGGATGTCTTGGTGGATTAAAATATTTTTGTTGTTGTTGTAGGCGCACATTAAAGAATCAAAACCATGACTGACTCCAAGTACTTCACAACCAATAAAAAAGGTGAGTAAGATTGTGCTATGTCTATTTTCACATAAAAAAAATGAAATTAAATGTTAAAAAAAGTAAAGTGTGAGAATCTGATCGAAACTTTGAGATTTATTTTGATAGTTATAGTGAAAGACTGTCCTTGCAAAAATGTCATGGGTGCCATGCCTCTCTTTCTCTGGCTTCACAAAGAGAGTAGAGCATCAAACTGAAAATCAGCCCAAGGCTGATTCCTATAAAGCAGAGTTCAGACATGCCTCCACTCTCCAACCTTCTTTATCCTAGTCTGACATCAGCCATCTCTCCCACAGCACTCTTACTTTTCTGCTGGATTCTATAACCCACAGAACTCCCAGATAGTATTAATGGGTATGGGGTATATTAGGGAAGTGAACAGGGTACAGTTCAGGATAAGAAACAACACAGAATATAGAAGTTTTCTGGTCAGAAGTGCTTCTTAGTTATACCAAAGGTACACCTCTCTTGTTCTCAGCCTCTCAGCCATGAGCCCTCTTGGTCTCTGCTATACTTGGGCAAGTGTTGTAAAGCTCCTTTAGCCTTATATTGTGGGCAGATGCTTTAATGGCACACCATTCTGCAAACCAGCCTCACTTAGCCCCTGTGCCAGGAAGTCCACCACTCTGTCTCTGTGTGCTGCTGCTGCTTCTGCGCTGCTTCTTTGTACAAGGACCTCAGGGTCTAAAAGACATGCTCTGCTCATGGCTCTTGTTTCTTCTTGGTAGTAAGATACCCATTCCTACTTCTGACATGACTCATTTTAAACTCAGCAGAATGGCAAAACCACTTAATCTATATTACAATCCCATACATCTTTCATTTTTTGGAAATTCAGACCAGTTATTTTATTAGAATGTCCTCAGTTTGGATTTGTCATTCATTTTCACCTCTTTCTGATTTTCCTAGCATACTGGAAAGTGGATATATTTTTTCCTAATAACATTATATGTTAATGGTGTTGGAGGAGAATATTGAAAGTACCATGGGCAGCCAAAAGAACCAACAGATCTGTATTAGAAAAAGTGCAGCCAGAGTGCTCCTTGGAGGCCAGGATAGCCAAACTTCGTCTCTCATACTTTGGACATAGTGTCAGGAGGGACCGGTCACTGGAGAAGGAAATCATGTTTGGTAGGGTGGAGGGTCAGAGAAAAAGAGGAAGACCCTCAGCGACATGGATTGGCAAAGTGGCAGCATCAATGGGCTCAAGCATGGCAATGATAATGAGGTTGGCCCAGGATCGGGCAGTGTTTCGTTCTGCTGTACATAAGGTCGCTATGAGTCGGTACCGACTCGATGGCACCTAACAACAACAAATTAACATTTTATGTGTTCAACTGTGCTAAAGATTGTAATGTAGTAGTGGTGGTGGTTGTGTGGAATGGAGTTGATTCCCACTTGATAGCAGCTCTGTATAGGGTTTCTGGGTCTACAAATCTTTACGGGAGCAGAAAGCCTCATCTTTCTTTTGCAGAGTGTATGGTAGATTTGAACTGCTGACCTTGTGGTTAGCAGCCTGACTTGTAACCCACTATGCTACCAGGGCTCCTTTTGTAATGATGTCTTGTTTTGTTAGTGCTGTTGAGTTGGTTCCGACTCATAGCAACTCTGTATAGGGTTTCTGAGGAGTAGCTGGTGGGTTATAACTGATGACCTTGAGGTTAGCAGTCGAATGGTTATCTTACAGCACCATACCAGGAGTATAATTAAAACTCACCTATCTCTGTAGTAAACATTCTCTTGTAAGGGGTCCTGTTAATTTATTTTTTTATTCACGGATTTTGAAAGTTTGAGACTTACAGATTGAATCACTGCTGGGTAAATACGACGTTTAGAAAAAAGATGGAATGTGTTCCTTTTGCTTCCTGTGGCACCCACTAGAGCTGCTACTGGAACAAATTCTGTAAACTTATGCTATTGGAATAATTTCAGTTCCATCCACTTTTGATTCTGCAACTCCTGCTGCTGTTCATGATTCACTCTGAAACCCTGCTGTTTGTCCTTTACTGTTCCCAGAAATGAATGATGGGAACCCTAAATGCTGTCATTTGGCAGCATAGCACTATAGGACTTGTGTAGAAGGGACTGACACTTTAAGGGCCTTAATTTTTCTGGTTGTGCTATTTTTGCAGCTGTCAAGGCTGATTTTGAAACAATTTGTTCACCTTGTTTACAATGGATGTAAATGAAACCTTTTTAGTGTTCCACTTCTGTGTTTCTTGTCACTTTCATCCTTCTCATTTAGGGTTTTCCAGGCAAATCACAGTGTACTATTATCACTATTTCTGCACTGGTGAATAAGATCTGGTGAAAATGAACATCTAACGAGGACAATGAGGCAACGTTGTAGAAGAATTTAATAGTATAGTGGAAAGCTGAGGTGTTGGAGTAGTCAGACTCTTTTTCCATGGGGATGAAGTACAGCCAGAATAATCCTTAGGAGCCAGGATGGCCAGACTTCTAACTCTATTGCTTTGGAAATGTTATCAGGAGGGACCAGTCCTTAGAGAAGGACATCATGCTTGGTAAAATGGAGGGTTAGCGAGAAAGAGAAAGATACCCAGGGAGATGGATTGGCACATTGGTAGCAGCAGTGGGTTCAAACGTAATACCGATTGTAAGGCTAGTGCGGAACTGGGAAGTGTTTTGTTTTGTTCTACATATGAGTTAGAACTGACTCCACAGCACCTGACAACAACAATAGTGGTGTGTTGTTTTCTTTCTTTAAATCAACTGAGAGTTACTGTCTTCGTCTTGCTCTTTTTTTTATTGCCGTGAAAACATGCATACTGAAATATCCACCAACACAACAGCTTACATATTATCTATAACATTGAGTACATTTTTCATGTTGCACCCCTACTATTCTCCTCCAAAACATCCTACCACCATTAGTATAAAATTCATTATGCCCTACCACCCAAATGAAAAACTCTGGTCCCTCCCGCCCATCCTTGGTAGCCATTAATCATCTTTGGTTTCTGTTTATTAACTTTTTTCATGGGTCCCTAGCACAAAAACAGTTAAGTGCTCTACTATTAACTAAAAAAGATTTGCAGATCAAATCCACTTAGGAACCTTAGAAGACAGGCCTGGTGATCCTCAGACAACTCACAGCCTAAGGTTCCCAAGGAGTTCTGGTGTGGCACTGCGGCTTAATCCGCTGGACTGCAAAGTTGGTTTGAACTGCAAGGTCGGCGGTTCAAATTCACCAGCTGCTCCTCGGGAACTATATAGGGTTGCTATGGGTCAGAACCAACTCGACAGCACTTAACAACACCAACAAAGTTCCTAAGGACTCCTGATGTGGCATAGAAGGATCAGCTCTGGACTGTGTATCACAAGGTTCGCAGTTCAAACCTACCAGTTTGCTCCTCGAAAACCTTATGTTTAGGGTCGCTATGAGTCAAAACCAGCTTGACGGCATTTGACAACTACAACAACGGTTCCTAAAAGTCTGGACTGTGCTCTGCCTTCTCAGGCCATAACTTTAAAAGACTGAAAAAATATTTTTTGTGGTGGTATTATCAGTGCGTCAGGTAATATTCTAAGGCTTTGAATTTTACCAGTATTACTTTTTTTTTTTTTTTTTTAAATTACTGAAATTGCCTCCCTGTTGTTGGTCACTTAACTTGCTCTTAGTCCGTTGGCCACTTATCCTGGTCTTAGTTATTACATATTTCTCACTAGTACTTTGATCCTGGAACCTTACACAGTTGTTCTCTTTCTTATAGGAGAAATCTTTGAATTAAAGGCTGAGCTCAACAATGAAAAGAAAGAAAAGAGGAAGGAAGCTGTGAAGAAAGTGATTGCTGCTATGACGGTGGGAAAGGATGTTAGGTAAGGATGATCACACCACCCCATTTTATGGCCTTTTACTTTGAAAATGACTGATTTGGTACTACTTTTAAGGCACCAGCAGTTTTATGCATGGTCATTTCTGCACTAACAGTGCAAATGTCAACACTTGAGAAAAGACAATTATAGTACATATGGTGGTGGTTATGTGTCATGAAGTCGGTTCCGACTCATAGCGACCCTGTACAGGATTTCCCAGGCTGTAAATCTTTATGGGAGCAGAAAGCCTCATCTTTCTCCCCAGGAACAGCTGGTAGTTTCAAACTGCTGACCTTGTAGTTCGCAGCCCAATTTGTAATCACTAGCTACCAGAGCTCCTTTATAGTACATATTTGTTGTTGTTGTTGTTAAGTGCTGTTGAGTCGGTTCCGACCCATAGCGACCCTATACAGGGTTTCCGAGGGTGTAAATCTTTACGGGAGTAGAAAGCCTCATCTTTCTCCCGTGGAGCGGCTGGTAGTTTCGAACCGCTGACCTTAAGGTTCGCAGCCCGATTCGTAACCACTACGCTACCAGAGCTCCTTTATATGTAGGAATGGATAATTGTAGAACCTAAAAGTTCTTTTAATGGATTTGTCCCACTGGAAACATCATCAGGAAACATAGTTGTTTCTATATTAACTCTCTGAAATTAAGGTGGGTTATTTTGAAGAGTAAAATGAGTTTGATTTTTTTTCATACAGATCTGGCATAAAACCTCCTGAGAGCTGTCCCAGTACTTTCTCTTGGTTGAGGTAGTTTTAGAAGATGATAAAAATATACTGAGAAGCAGAACCTCACATATTCTTTAATTGGCTCAAGCCAATACCCTTAGCTTTACAACTCTACATTCTGGTGTTGAATTCAAGATAAAGATCAATGTTAACAAAATCCATTTGGTCTTTTTGTTTTGTTTCTGTCATTTAGCAAGACCATTTAGAAAGAATTGTCTGTATGCCCCTCATTATAGGGTCCATGAGGTTAAAACTATTTTTATAATAATGTGTGGGTGTTACTTGCTTTTTATCATTGTGTTGACATTTGGAGTGATGGTGCAGAAATGATTGTGGGTAAAACTACTGGTGCCTTAGTATGAATCAATGCAGTGGTACCAAATCTGTATTCATGACCACCATGTACTTGCAGGAAAAAAGCGGTTTTGCTTCGGACTGTCATTCATGAAACATTAAATATTAGTTTTATTAATTCTCCAACTTTTGAGTATGTGTTTTTTATTGAACAACTCAAATCGATGCTTTTGAGTTATGGTGTTGGAGGAGAATATTTGAAAGTACCAACAGGCTGCCAAAAGAACCAATAGATCCGTTTTGGAAGAGGTGCAGCCAGAGTGCTCCTTGGAAGCCAAGATGGCCAAACTTGGTCTCTCATACTTTGGACATATTGTCAGGAGGGACCAGTTGCTGGAGAAGGATATCATGTTTGGTAAGTTGGAGGGTCAGAGAAAAAGAGGAAGATTCCCAGCAAGATGGATTGGCCAAGTCGCAGCATCAGTGGACTCAAGCATGGCAACAGTAGTGAGGTTGGCCCAGGATCGGGCAGTTTTTTGTTTTGCTGTGTATAAGGTTGCTATGGTTACCCTTAGTTTGTTATGATCCACACAGTCAAACTCGATGGCACCTAACAACAACAAGCACAATAATTAGAAAAGTTTTAATTGCATATGTAGTTCAAATTGTATTACTAATGGATATCACAGTACTGAACTAGATTACTTACAAGGGACACTGAACTATAATAATATAACACATTATTGTTGTTAAGTGCCATTGAGTTGGTTCTGACTCAGTGATACTAGGCAAACAGAACAAAGCAATGTCCAGTCTTGCATCATCCTCAAAACTGTCGATACGTTTGAGTCTGTTGTTGCAGACAGTTGTGCCAGTCCATCTGTTTGAAGGTCTTCCTCTATTTCATTGACCTTATGCCAGTCCATCTCCTTGAGAGTCATCCTATTTTTCATTAACCCTCTACTTTTCCAAATATGATGTTCTTTTCCTGGGACTGGTCCCTTCTAATAACATGTCCAAAGTACGAGAGATGAAGTCTCACTATACTTGCTTCTAAGGAGCATTCTGGCTGTACTTTTTCTAAGATAAATTTGTTTTTCATGTTAAGAGTCTGTGGTACTTCAAATATTTTTTTCCAGCTCTCTAATTCAAATGCATCAGTTTTTCTATGGTCTGTGAGACGATTGATAATATCATGACTTGGGTCAGAACACAGTGAGATCTTTAAAGAGGTCTTGTGCAGCACATTTGCCCAATATAGTATGTCACTTGATTTCTTGAGTGCTACTTCTGTGAGCATTGATTTTGAATCCTAGTAAAATGAAATCCTTGACAAAACTTTAATCTTTTCCCCATTTATCATGATGTTATTTATTGATCTTCGAGTCCTGGTGTGGCATTGTGAGATAAGCACTGGACTGCTGATCACAAGGTCGGTGGTTCAAAAGCACCAGTTATTCCTTAGAAACCCTATACAGAGTCACTGTGATTCAGAACTGACTCGACGGCACTTAACAACAAAAACATCAGTAGCTGCAGTTTATTGGTGCAGTTATGAAATATTTCTTCTTTACATTGAGTTGAAATCTATACTGAATGCTGTAGTCTTTGATCTTCATCAGTGAGTGCATAAAGTCCTCTTCCCTGAGCAAGGTGTGCCATCTGCCTATCACAGATATGTTCTCTGTGATATGCAGATGCCATGTTCTTCTTCATATAATCCAGCTTCTCAGATTATTCTCAGATATTATTCTCTGCCATATTCTTCTTCAGTTTCTCAGATTATTTGCTCAGAATACAGATTAATTAACTCTAGTGAAAGGATACAACCCTGACACATATCTGATTTTAAACCACACAGCATCCCTTTGTTCTTGGTCCATGAATAGGTTGCATGTGAGCACAGTTGAGTGTTCTGAAATTTTCATTCTTGGCAGTGTTACCCTTAGTTTGTTATGATCCACACAGTCAATTGCCTTTGCGATGTCAATAAAACACAAGTAAACATCTTTTTGTTTTCAGGCAAAATTCATTTGAGGTCAGCAGTAATACCTTTGTTCTAAGTCCTCTTCTGAAATAAACATGAATTTCTGACAGTTCCCTGTCAATGTGCTGCTGCAACCATTTAAAAATTATTGTCAGCAAAATTTCATTTGTATGTGAAAATTGATACTGTTTGGTAATTTCTGCATTTTGTTGGGTCATCTTTCTTTGGAATGGGCACAAATGATGGATTCCTTTCAGTTGGTTAGCCAAATTTTTTAGCTTCTAACACTATATCCCTGGTGTAGCACTGTGGGCTAATGTGTCAGACTGAAAATTGTTTAAACTGAAAGTTTGGTGATTCAAGCTCACCAGCTGCTTCTTGAAAACCCTATTTAGGGTCGGAATTGACTTGATGGCATTTAACAACAACAATAACACTACGTCAGTTTATTGAACGATTTTAATTTGTAGTCCATCAATTCCTGGAGCCTTATTTTTCACTAATACCTTCAGTGCACCTTGGATGTTTTCCTGCAATATCATTGGTTCTTTATCTTATGTTACCTACTTCCTGAAATGGTTGAACATCAACCGATTCTTTTTGGTACAGCCATTCTGGAACTTAACAATCTCTATAGAGACGAAACAGCAATATCTGTTGTACTATAGTGACTTGTGTATTTTGTGGCACTGTAGGATAAGCGTCGGACGGCTAACCTCAAGGCCAGAGGATCAAACCTACCAGCCACTCTAAAGTAGAAAAATGAGACTTCGTTCTTCTGTAAAGATTTACCCTTCTCGGAAACCTCATATAAGGGAGGAGTCCTGGTGTGGTACTGCAGGTTAATGTGCTAGACTGCAAGGTTGATTTGAACTACAAGGTCAGCGGTTCAAGCTCACCAGCTGACTTGGTGGCACTTACCAACAACAAATAAGTTGAAATTGACTAGATGACAGTGGATATTCTGTTTCTTTAGGTTATCTTTCTATGCACACCTGAAATCCTGTCTCCTACAAGAAGGGTTTTTCAACTATTCCTATTTATATATGAGTCTTTCTTTTACAGAACTCTTATTGCCCTTTAATAGACTTTTTTTAAAAACAGACTTTTAAGTATTTAATTACATAACTGTTTTATTATTATCTTCTAGTTTTTCAAATTTTGGGTCTCTTCAGTTAGGTAGTAAGTGCTATAAAGGCTAAAAGGTATCTATTGTCCTTTTGCATGAATCATAGTATGTGGTATGGTGGTGTATTGTGCAGTCAATTTTGACTCATAGCAACCCTGTATAGGGTTTCTGAGACTGTAAATCTTTATGGGAACCGAAAGCCGCATCTTTTTCCCTTGGAGCACATGGTAGACTCCAATTGCTGACCTTTTTGGTTAACAGCCCAAAGTGTAACTCCCTTTGCTACCAGGGCTCCTTGAATATATGGTCTAGTGCCAGGCATATAATAAACTGACTGTTAACATTAGCCAGTGGTATTTATCAAGCATATACAATAGAAGTTTTACCTTTTCTGTAAGGTACAGAAATAAGCTTGACATTCAACAGCTCTAGGAGATGAGCATATTGACTTTCACCAGTTCACTTGTACTGGTGTTCTCAATTTAGATTTGTTCTTGGCAAAAATATATAGTACTTTCAGTAACTTGTTTAAGTGTTATCAATTCTGACTCATAGTGACTCTGTACAGGGTTCCAAGGAGCAGCTGGTGAGTTTGAACTGTCGACCTTGTGATTTAAACTGACCTATGACCCAGTGCTTTATGCCATAGTGCCATGTAGCCATCTATGTCCTATGGCCTGGAAGGCAAATCTGGCCTACTGACTTTTTTTAAAGATGAGCCATGAATGAAGTGATTTTTCACAGATGAACATCTATGATTTATTTGATGACAGGGAATAAAAACTTTGAACCCAATTAAGCCTTCCCTTCCAAAAACCTCATTCCCTTTATAAATATAGATGTAAAAACCCTCAACGAA